ACGGCGTCAGCAGCAGCAGCAGCGGCAGCAGGAGCGCAGGGACAAACAGAAGCTACTGGTCTCACGCACCCCGCCCAAACGGGAAGTGAAGGAGGAGGAGGTGGAGGATATCTACGACCCCTTTAACCCCACGCTGTCCGACTCCAACAGCTCCGACGGCGAAACCCGGATCAAGCTGGAGCCGGAGAGGGTCCCGTTGGGGTCGCGGAGCGCGGCGCCCGTGAAGAGCGAGGCGTCGGAGCGAGAGATCACAGAGACGGAGGCGAGGGTGAGGAGGATGGAGGATGTGCGGCGGGTGACGCCGGCAGACGGAGGCGTAAGAGAGCGTTTGATGATCAAGCGAGAACCGGAAGAGACGGCCTGCTCCAGATCTCAGGAGGATCTGAAGAACCGGGCGACGCAAACGCTGCGGGCCAACATGAAGATCAAGCTGGAGCCGGGGTTAGCCGAGTCTGGGGAGACCTGCGCTCATCGTCCCTTCGCCACGCCGTCTCGCGGGACCGCGGCTACCGCGTCCTCGTTCGACGCGACGAGGGAACCAACGGAGGCGCGGGAACAGACCAGCCGACCCGCCGCCAACAGCGTCGCCTCAGGCCCGCCTAAGGCCGATCCGGTACCCTCCAGACCGTCGTCCAACCAAAAAGACCGGAAGATCAAACCTGAGCCCGTCCGCCCTCCCTGCTCCCAGGCCACAGAAAAGGCAGCGCTTCAAAGCGAGACAACTTCCAAAGGGACCGGGGCGCCGCCGCCGCCGTCTCAGGGCCACCGCTCGCGGTCCAGCAGCTCCGAGGCGGGCGGCCAGAGGCGGAGGAGGGACCGCTCCTCCTCGGGCCAAGGAGGGACGAGGCGAGGAGGGGAGAGGGGCTCGAGGAGGTCCAGATCGAGGGACAGAAGGAGGCCGCGCTCCTCCTCCTCCCGGAGCTCCCAGTCGGACTCTTCCTCCTCTCGCAGGAGGAAGAGGAGGCGGCCCCGGTCGCGCTGCAGGTAAATACTCACATTCGTTGAGTCTTGAACGCCGTTTAAGTCTCGGTTCCAGTGGGAATGAACTGCTTAGCAGCCATTACTATCTGCCATGTCTCTGACAACAATTCAATGAACATGTTTACTTACTTTACTTTGACAATGGGATAACGGGGAAATCCTATTCTTCCATTGGATTTCTCTAGTTTAAAGTTATTAGGATAGGATATCATGATATGTATAGGATATCGTGGCAAATTACTTTATGAGATATAGTCTAGGACAGATGAGACTTCAAAATGCCGAAATAACACAGTAGTTGTGTCTAGTTAGATCAGTACTGTCTACTGTCTAGAACAGTAAAAAGCAGAACGAAGCTAGCCGTGAGCGTATATTTCTGCTAAAATCATCCACAACAAACCGTTTTATTCGGGTTTGTACAACATCTCCGATCACACTATGCCACTGAATTGATTATAATCATTCAGTCATCAACATTCAATTATTCAATCGTAATTACAGTGTGCCTCTCACAAGATACGATCTGGTATGTTGTTTATGTAAATGCTGTGACTTGGTACAATCCGATGGCAAGTCACATAGTGAAGTCCTTTGCTCTGATTTCCAGGTCTGGCTCGCTCTCCAGTAGCCGCGAGCCTCTAAGCACGAAGAAGGACCAGCGGGTCAGCAGCAGGGAGAGGCATGTGGACACCAGAGGAGATGGCGGTCGGGATCCGAAGGACAAGAGGCGGCCTCGCTCCCGCTCCAAGTCCCGCTCCAGGGAGAGGGAGCGGCGGAGAGACCGGCGGTCGCCGCCCAAGTCCTCGTCCTCGTCCTCCAGCGCCCGGGACAGAGAGAGGCCGGGGTCCAAGGACACGAAGAAGAGGCCGCGGTCCAGATCCCTCTCCAGGGAGCGGCGAAAACGGGAAGAGGGGTCTTCAAAGAGCGCCCTCAAAGCTTCCGGCTCGGCCGCTTCGTCGTCCAAGGAGCCGAGGAAAGTAAAAGAGGAGAGGAAGGAAAAACCCGTGAGCTCTCCCCGAGACGGTAACCATGCCAACGCCAACAAAACGGAAACGAAGAAACACGTTAAAAAGGAAAGCCAAACGTCCGTCTTTGCGTTGAAGGTGGAAAGTAAAGACCCCGGTTCTGATGGCGACGCCGCGATGGCGGCGAAGGCGGACAAAGATCCACAGCTGTTGGGCGACAAAGGGGCGACGAAAAAACACGTCGTCAAAAAAGAAAGCCCAGCGTCCCTCTCTGAGCTCAAGAGAGAAAGTAAAGACCCCGGTTTTGACGGCCATGTTGCGATGGCGGCGGCGGCGGCGGCAGACGGAGATCCGCAGCCGTCGAAAGAAATTAAAAAGGAGAAACCGCCCGAAAGCTCGCCTGGCGTCCGACCGATCAAGCGGGAGCACGCCACGGTGGAGATGTGTTCCCAGACCGAGGTGAAGAGCTTGCTCCGAGCGGAGGACATCAAGAAGGAACCGCTGATGCTCATCAAAGAAGAACCGTGCGACTTCTGGTTATCCGACGCCGCGGAGACCGCACCGGAGACGGCCGCCTCGCCGCCGCCACCACCGCCGCCGCCGCCTCCTCCTCCTCATCATCCGCCGGCCCCTCACGCGAACACCTCGCAAACGCCTCCGTCTTCCCCCACCATCTGCCCCGGCCCGGCCTCGAGCGTTACCGTGGTAACGTCTCCGCCTCCGAGCGCGCCGCAAGTACCGCCGCCGCCGCCGCCGCCGTCCTCCTCCTCCTCCGACGATGAGGACTTCAACGTGGACGCCTTGCTCGACAACCTCGGACTGTTAAAGTCGTCCGGGGCGAAAACGGAGCAGCGGGTCGCCGGCGTGGCAGTCAAGCAGGAGGAGGTGGTGGAGGAGGCGGTCAAGCAGGAGAGGGAGGCGGAGGTGGCGACCAGTGAGGTCGAGGCGGAGAGGGAGGAGCTGGCGACCAGTGAGGTCGAGGCGGAGAGGGAGGAGCTGGCGACTAGTGAGGTCAATGCGGAGAGGGAGGAGGTGGCGACCAGTGAGGTCAAGGCGGAGAGGGAGGAGGTGGCGACTAGTGAGGTCGAGGCGGAGAGGGAGGAGCTGGCGACCAGTGAGGTCGAGGCGGAGAGGGAGGAGCTGGCGACCAGTGAGGTCAATGCGGAGAGGGAGGAGGTGGCGACTTGTGAGGTCAAGGCGGAGAGGGAGGAGGTGGCGACTAGTGAGGTCAAGGCGGAGAGGGAGGAGGTGGCGGCGACTAGCGAGGTCAAGGTCAAGGTGGAGTCGGAGGCGGAGGAGGTGCAAAGCGAGGGTCAGCAGCCGCTGCTGCTGGCGCCGGCGCCGCCTCCTGCGGCCGTCAAATCCAAACCTCAGGTGAAGCGCGTGACCTGGAACATCCAGGAGGCTGATGGACCGCAGCCAGAGAAATCTGCCAGTAGTAAGTGTGGGTCATAAATGTCCCAGTTGAGTTATTGTCTTGTTTTTGTTGTGGTGTTTTTGTTAGTCCCTTGCTAAAACTGGGGAGTGAACATGAAACGTGTTTCATGTTTACCTTTTGATATTTAACCTTTTCAAATTGTAGGCTAGGCCTGCGTTTATTTATTTGTTCTCTATAGTTTCAATTGAAACTGTATGTTCATTTTGCACTAAAGCTCTTAATAATAAAATGAGAAAATACTCGATACTTTTCATTTGTCATAAGTATTGAATTCACACGGAAGTATATAACAATAGGCTTCACCGTGTGGTTATATTATATAGACTATTTATTGAATTACCAGAGAGCATGCTATATCGTGATATATATCGTTATCGAGATATTAAATTATCTATATATCGTGGTTGAAGATTTTGTCCGTCTCGCCCGGCCTTAGTCCTCAGGGGTTGGAGCAACACGGGTGGAGTAGTTTGTCTGCCCAGTGTTTCACAAATGGTTTTACATTTGTGTTTTTCCCACTAAAACGTCTTCCAATATGCTTTGATTTTCCGTTTTTCCAGAGCTGGCCCTGTATAAGCTGAAGCTGAAGCAAGAAGGCGCTCGGCGGCCTTCGGCACAAACATCCAATCAGGTAATAACCACACGCTCTCCCAGAATCCCCTGGTGTGTTTCGGCCCAGTTGAAAACCCAGCGGCATGCGCCTCCTCCTATGGCCACTAGGTGTCAGGCTTCCTCCTATATGATCTGATGCTCGTTTCATAATGCTGGGGTAGGAACAATGGCTGCATTTCAGAGAAAACGAAACCAAGTGTGTCTGGGAAACACCCAATTGTCTCGGCCTCTGGAGAATTTAGTCTTACCTGTCCAAACCGGTTCATGACTATTACTTCATTACTTTCGCCATAACAAACACTAATAATAGATGGTGATAATTACTGCTAAGATACAGTAGACATTGACAGATTTCCCATATCCACATGAAGATTAAAATGGATAGAAATTGTTGTAGAAACGACTCAGGAATACATGAAAGCCTGAGTCTAAAAAGTAGTTTAAAGTCAGTTTTAAAAGTTCAAACCTACATAGACACAATACAATATGGATGATGTCACCCAGTGGTTCACACACTGAGGTTGTAGATTTGCATTCGACCGAGTGTCTATATATATATATATATCGCAGTAGTCTATTCTCGTACTTTATATTAATTATGTTAACTTCTATCTATATATAGATGTATATATCTATCATGATCATGATAGATGGATAGATATATCTATTTATTTTGTGTTATTTGTTATGTTAGACGGTTGAGGATGCCTGGAGTACAAGCATGGCCATGAATGACTTCTAGTCGTTGTTCTCCGCCACGCATGTGACGAATAAACGAATGAACCTCCACTAGAAACTTAACCCTTCACCCCCCTGTCTGCTCCAGGCCCCAGGCTGCTCCAAGCGGGGGGGCGGCGCCTCCGGCTCGGCCGGCCTGCCGTCCGCCTCTGGGGATCCGGCCCCCGGAGACCAGGGAGACCCCAAGGAAGGGGAGCTGCCCAGGAATGACGAGGTGAACGTTTTGACGGTTTGGGATGTTAATATCCCAAACATCATTTTTAGCATGGGAGGTCCCAGTGGGAATCGAACCCGCAACCCTGGCAACGTTGATGCCATGCTCTACCAGTTGAGCTGGTCAGGACCGGTATTGTCATAAATAAGAGGAAATGCTACCAGAGTCCAAAGTAATGTTTTAAATGTGCTTGCTTTATGTGGCAAGCAGCCAAGAAAAACTAAAGTATTCATTTTGTAATGACCCATGAACCATATTTTTACATTTCTGAAGCATTAAGCAGCAAATATTTAGTATCTGTACTTGATGAATGGCTGAAACGATAAATAGGTTATCAAAATAACCCTCAACGCTTATGAATTACAAATCGGTTTACTGTGTAATAAACTACATGTATTATCGTATGAATTTGTCCGCCGGCAGTATTTGAAGAAGCTGCACATGCAGGAGCGAGCGATTGAAGAGGTGAAGTTGGCCATCAAGCCGTACTACCAGAGGAGAGACATCACCAAGGACGAGTACAAGGACATCGTCCGCAAGGCCGTCCAGAAGGTGGGCTGGGCTTCGCTCAACGCAGAATAATGAATTGGGTTTGGTTGTTAGACGTGTTTGTGTTTGTAGACTGAAAGCATGTGTGTAGTAATCCACTTTTTTTTTGCTTTATCTTTTTATGTTTTATGTTCATTCATGAATCGAACGCTGCTGTGCTATAACTGAAGCCTGGATATGATTTGTTTAAAATTTCAAACTGCACTTGTTTTCCGTTGTTGACTGATTTTTGGCAGCATTGGATATAAAAGTTCTTTAAAATAATGCGAGTACTCGAATGTGGAAATCACTTTAAATACCAATCTCTATAATTTTTACTATGAAGTCTTTCAATCCATTATTTATAGCACAAGTCATACATCAAATGCCACTCCAATTGCTGGACACAAAAGTGGAAATAAGTAAAAAAAAAAAAAAAAAAACATGAACGTGAATGAATGAATGAATGAATGATATAATAAATTATATAATAAAATATAACTGTAACCTGGAGTGTATAACCCAGTAAGTTAGACAGTTGGATGAATACTGTACTCTGGTTCGACTCAAGGAGCGAGGGAAGGCTAATGTGCAACGTAAACTCAAATATGTATTTACACAAACAACAAAAGTTGTTTGTGAAATCCATTCGGATTTAAAATCCCCTGAATAACAACAAAAAAACAAACCAAAGTAAAGTGTCCTTTCCAGCTTACAGCTGTTCTGATATCAAAGTTGAGTGCACTCAAATGAGTGCAAGTCGAAAATAAACACACAGGCCGTTTCTAAATCGGTTCACACGCGTGTTCCCCTCTCTCCGCCCGCCAGGTGTGCCACAGTAAGAGCGGCGCCATCCACCCGGTGAAGGTGGCCAACCTGGTGAAGGCGTACGTCGACAAATACAAACACATGAGGAAACACCAGAAGGGCGGCGAAGGCAACCCGCAAAACACGGACGACGCTAAAGACTCGGACAGCCCGTGAGCAAGCCCACCGGATCCGGTCTGGACTCGTCTGGGACCCCCCCCCAGTCCCCTCAGGTCTCTGTTTGTGGTCTCCGTGGGCGCGGCCTCCTCCTTCCTTTTTTGTATTTCTATTAAACTGCCAAACGTCCTCCTTTGCGTTGAGTTCGGCGAGCGGAGCCACGGAGACGGCGGTGAAACGGTTTGTGTCTTAAGGAGACATCACATCAAGTCAATCTCACTGACTATTAGGAAGAAAGTCTATTTATCAGTTAATGCGTTTTATTTTTATTTTTTTTTGTGAAAAGAAAACAAAACTACGAGAGCGATGAACCAATTTTAGATTTGTTTCTGTAACATTGATTTGATAGATTTAGCTATATATACTCCTTCCTGTTGTGCTTGCCTGACAGTCGAAGTGAGCGGTTCTGTTTGATGGGTTTGTGTTCTGATGCGTCTGTCCAACCTGTCGCCAAGGAAACGAGTTCAGCGCCACATCATGAGAGGAACGACCACCGAGGAACGGGGATACGCTAGCACACACACACACGAATGTACTGTTAATAAAAACAACGATCATTATTAGCGTTCATTACATGTGTTTAATAATAATAATTATTATTATTATTCCCGAATTTCATGTGAACACAAAAACGGTGAGAGGACAGCGTTTGGTTTCTGTGTGACCTGTTATACCTGGTATCTTGGTAAAGGGTTTGTCCTCCCGACATGTTATGGTGAGAAATGATGTGGTTTAGAGTCATTATGATTATTTAAAGAGTCATGCCGAGATAAGAAGCTGTGGTTTGGATTTCCAGTTAACAAATTCAATCGTTTAATAATAGTTTGCCGTCACGGATATATTTAAGCTGTTGACGGATAATAAACTTCATCTCGGCATAATGAACAATTAAAAAACGACTTGCATGCTGTTTTGGGGGCTAAAGTCAGCCCGTCTCTCTGGGCTTAACGAGTCGCCGGCCTGGTGGGGTGTGTGTGTGTGTGTGTGTGTGTGTGTGTGTGTGTGTGTGTGTGTGTGTGTGTGTGTGTGTGTGTGTGTGTGTGTGTGTGTGTGTGTGTGTGTGTGTGTGTGTGTGTGTGTGTGTGTGTGTGTGTGTGTGTGTGTGTGTGTTATGTGGAACAGGAAGAGGGAGTCATGACAACCCATCCAGATGTGGACCCTACCAGGAAGAAGTGACGACTAAACACACGTGTTGTACGGTGTAATGTTCGATGTGTAACACTAGCTTTGCTCTGTTTGCAAAGCAAATATTATCGGTGGTAGCCGACGCCCCCTTATACAAAGTTTAGAGAGTTAAGTTATACAAAGTTTAGAAAAGCCACTGTGCTGTTTTGAAGTGGATAGGAACTAGGATGAAGTCAATTCACCGGAGAGATCTCACTTCTGGAGGTCTGATGTTTTTCTGCTCTGATTTCCCCAACTGAACTGCCTTCAAATATGTCATTCACTCATTCATTCATTCATTCATTTATTCATTCCCTGGACTGTAGGGTCGTCTACAGACTGACCAGGGTTTGGTCTGGCTCACCCTACCTGTGACAGCTGATGGGGCTGAAGAGAAACAAAAATGTGAAAACTGGTGCCTGCCTTCTGTTTTAACCGAATGTCCAATATGGCGGATAAAGGAAGTTCTTATTAATTATTAGCTGACAGACGGACGTTTGATTTGTTCCTTATTTGCAGATGTTTTGTCCTGGGAACTGCAACTGTGATCAGCAGATTCTGGATGGAAACTCCTGTTTCATTATTTGTAAATATTGTTTTCTCTTTTTTTTGTGATTCAATAAAAATACAAAATAAATAGTTATGGTGGCCCTACTGTATATTTTGTAATGGATTTGTGATAAATGCTAGAAAATAATATTCATACTATAGCTTTATTACTACACAAGAACTATTTATACATATCAAAAATATGTAATATATATATATATATAATATATATACAACAGGTTATATATACCATATATACCCGTTTATATATAACCACCACGTGAGTATGAACAAGATCCCATTTTTATTGAGCGGTTCAAGATAAGTTCAGACGTGCGGTCAGTTTTCTACTTCCTGCTATACAGAAAGTAAACGGTTTCCAAATATGTGGGAGGACTTACGCCACAATATCCCTTTTATAGTTCTCATAGGAAGTGTCGAAAACACTGACCTCCTATAAGTAAATGTGTTTCTGACCCACAGTGAAGGAAAAACAAAACACATAAAAGTCAAGGATGTATTTACAGAGACGGATCATCACATAAGGAAACTACAAAATACCATCAACCACTAAATATATTTGTACATGTATTACGGCCAAAAAGTAACTTGCTTCCACAGCAGTCTTAATTTATTAAGATAACACGAATGGACAGATAAATAATATCACCAGAACAGGTTTAATCGTAAGAATAGATACGTGTGAGTGTGACAGCGGTCGTCTTAAGTTAAATTACTTTGACATTTACAGTGTGAAAATTCAGCAACCAAAAAAACCCGTAAACATACAAAAATGTACTGAAAGTTTCCAAAGAAGTAGAAAAATAAGAGAAAACTTCTGGCTAAAATAGCCTATACATGAACACTCAGTCCCCAGTGCTATGTTAACAACCAAAACCTGATTCTCCCAATCAGCCATAGCTCCCCATTTCATTGTCACACCAGAAGGAGCTTATTAAGGAAGTCCGAATTGCATATGTCCCTACACACCCATATATATATATATATATATATATATATATACCGTACACGCGTGGCCTAGCAGTGTCCCATGTGCTGCGGCGCCACCTGATAGGACGGCAGGCCGAAGGCGGAGCTGATGAGGTCGTACAGCGAGTCGTGGGAGATCTGCAGGCTGACGTTGCAGCTTTGGAGCGACGACGCGCCCTCTGTCTGCGCCATCTCATGGAAGTGGCGGCAGATCAGAGGAACCACCTGGAGGAGGAGGAGGAGGAGGAGGAGAGGGGACGGTCACATGACAAGGCTCCATCCGATCAAATCAAAGCAAACTTTATTTCTATAGCGCCTTTTGTACAAAATTTGCAATACAAGGTGCTTAAAAGGACAATTCCAGTCGAGCGCCGAACACCGTGCAACGTAACGAGCGGGAAGAGGCGTACACATGAGATGTCCATGAAGCAGAAGGTGTGCGATCTACTAGAAGCTGTGTGAAGTGCGAAGTACAAGGTGTGCATAGAGGAGAGAAGAGAACGGTTCGTGTTTGTGCTTTTCCCGGCGGCGTTCGGCGCTCGACTGGTCGTGACTGTTTTCCAAAGATGGCGCCCGCTTGTTTTTGTGCAGGCACTGGCTTTCTAAACTTTCTTTCTTTCTTTCTTTCTTTCTTTCTTTCTTTCTTTCTTTCTTTCTTTCTTCTGTACACAGAAGGTACAGGCTACCAAACCCGTTTGGCAAGTTGAACAGTTGAATACATTTTCCTTTGTTTTATTGGGGGGAATGGGGAATATCTCGGTGTAGGGCGTATCCTTGGTGTGTATGTTGTGGTGTATATGGATTTAGTTTGGTGTGTGTGTATGGCTGAATGTAACGCTAAACTGTCATGTGATTTTAAATGTACATATTAGATGTATATATTGTGTGTTTATGGAGAGGCTGTGTGCTGTGCTGT